GAGAGAGAGAGAGAGAGAGAGAGAGAGAGCTGCTTCGGCTCAGCTGTCTGGGACTATCCATTCGAAGACCCTACCCACACTGGGACTCCATCACCGCATGCTCATTGAGCTATGGAAGTCCCTGGTGTGAGTACGGCCTGTGCCCAGAGTTAGCCGCTGGCCCGCTGGCAAGCTGGAAAGGTGACGATGTTGGACCGCCGCCCGGAGCTTAGCACGACTCCCAGATGATGGCGAACTCCTGCGTTAGCTTGAGATCCTGAGAGTCTATGGTCATGAGGCCGCTTTTCGCTGGCCTCCCAGGATTCACCCGTACTTCGGAGTTGAGGTTGAGGTCTCTCACGACGTTGCACGGGCTGTACGCCGCCACACCGAAACTGTCCGTGAACTCGAAGTTACCCTCGAAAGAGCCGGGGATGACGCGCTTGGCTCGAGCCGTTCCTGATCCCCCGGAAATGTAGTAACTGGTCTGAGCGGTCCCGGTCACGCCCGCGTCCAGCTTGGCGTATCCGCGCAAAGTGACCGTCCCCAGGTGGAAGCGGAAACCTGGCGGATAACTCAGATTGACCGTCACCGTGCACCTCTTCCTCAGACCGTCCAAGCCAGCGTCGGTCGACGCAGTGTACTCGCTGAACATCACGGTGATCGCTTCTCCGTCATCCGATACTGCCCCCTCCGCAGACCCTGGCGGGCAGCCATCACCTGCGTACGTGAAACCCGTGATTTTGACAGTACCCGCTTCCGGGGATGCGGCTTGTCCGTGGATAGCCGACTGCAGGAATGCGAGCAACAGCAGGGCCGCCATGGTGGCAATGGAGGGGACTGGTGGGAACCCTCGTTGCGCCATTGTGATCAGCCTCGACGTCTTGCTTCTTCTTCCTTCCTGGCAGGTGGCAGGAAGTCTTCGTCGTCAAATTCTACAGCAACCTCTATAACCACCTCCACATCTACGAGGGCCACCGTCTCGAGTGAGTGCTGGAGTGCAAGTGTAGCCCTGCTCTCGCTCCTCTCCACCGGCAGCGTGCCGGAAAAAATGACCCCTTCCTAATCTTCCTATCTCGCCTACGAAAGTCGAGTAGGTCACACACTCTGCGCCAGCAACTTCTGAATCACCGTCGCTACACATTCCAAGTCCGGCTGTTCTCGCCTTTATGCACAGCAGCTAGGGGCACTGTAGGTTTCCTTACTAACTGGCATGGTGCATAGCGAAGCAGAGGTCGCCTTAGGTACTGGCCAGACCACTCTCGAAATGAAGGAAGTCCACAGCACTTTCTTCACTACCGGACAGCTGTCTGGGAAACGGCTTCCGCAGCACACTCGACTTCCTTTGGGCTGCCGGTCCTCGTGCCCGCGGTCAGCCCAATTTCGGGACAGGTGGCGGGCCGAAGGTGCATCAAAGTGTGTCGCTGACACGCTGTGCGCTTCCAGCGCCTCCTATCTCCTGTCCCTCCCAATGTACTGGCATCAGGTTTACGGTCAGGTGCGAGCAAAGCCACACCTCACTCTCGACCCTGTCCTCGAACATAGGCAGCGACACTCCCTACAGGGATTTCTTTTCTCCTTTTTTTGCCCGAGAGTGTCGTGGCAGCTCTGGGGAAAGGAAGAAAAAAAAGAGTGGTGTGACAGGCAAGCCCCTTAAGTCTCATAAGGCGGGGGTTAGCCTTTCCATTGGACTCGATTCGAGTACTTTTTTTTTTTTTTTCCTTTAATTCGGACCATTTCTCGATTTTTATGCGTGTCATCCTCGCACAGGGGTCATGCTAATCTTCTCTGTATCGTTCCAATTTTAACGGATGTCCTGAAGGACTGGAGTACTTTTTAGTGTGTCCACAGTGCGGCCATGATATGTTCACATCAGGTGGCAAACCCCGTGGGTGGGACACTGTACTTCTGCTGTGCAGCAATTTGTGCTGGGCATTCCTCAGAAGATCCCAGACTTTTCCATCCTGAAGAGCACCCTGTGATCTTGCTGGGCTAAGCCACCAGAACAATTGTGCCTGGAGGTGGACCAGGTGCAGTGCACGTCAAGCTTTTCAGAACAGCGGGACACTTTTTCTGCAAGGATGGGGCTGTGTACTGGTGGTACTGAGTACTACTGACCTTCCGTTGGCCCGAGGGCCGAAGCTAAGTGGGGCTGCTACCCATGAATGCGGCAAGAACATACATACCGCTACTGCTTGCAATCTGGGCCGGTAGCTCCGTACAAGCAGGCTCAGGGGTGAACTGGTGGCTTAAAGTTTAAACACCAGTACTCCCCCCAGCTTTGGGGCCAAATCTGCAGGCTGGCGGGGTTGCTTCTTTTTCGGCACGCGCAGCTTTTCCAGCTCTGGAGAAAGGTGCGTCCGAACTACTGGTGGTACAAGTGAGAAAAATAAAGCTGCAAAAAGGACGGTTTTTTCAAATCACCAATACCTTTCTGAGCTGTTTCGGTACAGTGCGGACTCGGACGTCCAAGGGAGAAGCCCGGCAGTGCCAACCAATAGAAGCTGAGTTTGCTCCGGGACAAAAAGCGGAGCATGGCAGAAATACCCATAGTCCTGATGCAACAAGTGGCACCCAACTGCTTTTCAGTGTACAGGTCCACATACTCCGTGTTCCACATGAAACTTCCAACCAGCAGTACATTTCATTATTCCCTCAAATTCTGCTGTCCATTTGTAGTCACACGTCCCCCCGTCCCAGCAAAATCACAAATAGGGTAGTATTTGTCAGTGGCCTGCTGGGCCGTGGGGTTCAGCAAATTGTGAGGACCTCGCAAATTCGCATTTGATTTTCTGATTTAAAACGAAAGATGAAGACACAAACGTGATAGGGAAGGGAAAAAAAACACACACATAAAAACCCAATATTTTTTTTCACCATGTGCTATCAGGGCATTTGCTAAATAGCAATCTGCTATGCTGTTATAGTCACACTAGGTTTTTCCAATCACCAAAACTGCAAACTGGGTAGCATTTGTCAACGGCCTGGGGGGAGGCGGGGACCGGCATTTTGCTACCACCTCAAGAGGTGGTGGCAAATTCTCTTTTGGCCGTCGCAAATTCTTTTTCGCCTTTTGGGAATTGTTAAAATAAAATTTCGGCGCTTTGTGACCATGAGAGGCACCAATTTTGCAATTGCCAGAGAGTCCGGCTCGTGTCCTTTCTGACTTGCAACCCATGTGTGACCCGGCGGGGTATTATTTCAGCAAACATGCGGAAAGAAAATTCAGCGATTTTGCTAGAGTGCCACCACCGTGTGAGTACCCCTCACACTAGAGCCTTTTATGGCAAAATCGCTAAAATTTGATGGTTGGACGAGTCGCACGAGGCAGGGAAATTGACAAGTGCAGCAAATGGGGTATCAAATGTCAGCGGCCTGGCTGGCCGCGGGGAAGGGCATTTGCTATCACCTCAGGAGGTGGTAGCAAATTTACTTTTGCTTTTCAGGATTTTGTGAGAAGAAATTTCAGCGCATCTGTCAACTGCCGGAGGGTGTTGCTAGCAGTAGAAACGTCAGGAATTCGCCACATCTGCTGAAAAGCCTGAAATGGCATTTCTACTGTGGGTCACACACATAGCGCTGTTTTTTGGTCCACATGCCTTGCAGAAATCCCGTGAGTAACGGGCTTGTCTGTTGCGGCAGAAACTGCACCCGGCCGTGTCATTCCTTCCACTCTGCTCCGCCGACTTCCCCCTGGGTAGCGCATTCACCCTGGTCCTCCATACATGGCAATAGGCACGCTTCCCCAGGGAATAGATCTATCTTCCGCCGGCCTCCCCCACGTTTCCATTTCAGATCGGAGCGATGGTAGAAGCAATGATCCCTGTCCCTCCCTGCAAAAAAACGTCCCTTTGTGGGATCGTCCCACCTGGTCACATCAAGGTGGGACGACGGCTCGAACCCTCTGAAAATGAGGGGATCTTGGACGTGCAATGAGGGGATCTCGGACGTGCCCCTGGCTGGTGTTGTTGGGTCCGGCCTCTTGTCTGCTCACCAGAGGCCCAAACTGCATGACGGAGCCGAGCACCGCAAGTGAGTTTTAGAAACTCGCCTGTTCACAAGGCCGAGCCAGAGGAAATTCGACACGAATGATCTAGACGGTCTAGACCTCACCCTATGTGACCGCGTGAGGCACCTTTTTGGCAATTGGTAGTAAGTCCCTCTCGTGTCCTACTTGATTTGCTCCCACTGTGTGACCGGGAGGGGCAGTACTTTTTTTTTTTTTTTTTTTTTTTTTTTTTTTTTTTTTTTTTTTTGCTGCTATGCTCCCGCTGTGTGAGTATTCCTTGTTCGGATGGGATCGGGCGCATTAGCCGTGGTATGACCGTACCATAAAAATTTGGACCATTTCACCGAAAGCGGGATTGCAAACTTCTTTTTTTTTGCTGCCATGCTACCGCTGTGTGAGTATGGCCTCAGCCGTGTGACCACGCTGACAGCAGATGGGGAAATTTTCAGAAAGCCGCGGTGATGTCTCGTTCAAAAAGGCACTGAAGAAATAGCGAATCAGAGTGAGGTCTGATCCATCGCAATCACATAGCCAATCATGCGAGTCATGCACAATAGCGCAAATATGTGACCAAATCTCTAAACTGGTCTTCCAAAACATAGACAGAAGAAGAACCGAAGACTTGTTGCAGCAAGGCTACGACTCCTCACCGCCACCCTCACCACAGAGTCACCGCTAAACGCTGAAAGATGGCAATGACTGGCTTCCCCGACTAGTTTCGGCTGCCGCCAGCAACGGCCTCATCAGGGGGTGTTCGAGATACTTGATGATGGTCTAGATGTCCTATATATACTATGTATCGGCAGTCAACTCCGTTTGCTCGTAGTAAGTCCCGGTAGTCCCATCCAAAATCACAGGTATCAGGTCCTAAGTTTAGTCAAATTCATGGTTCCATCCGAGTCCATTGCGCTTCAGTCTGAAAAGTTTTTTTTCGACCGGTCTAGTCGCGCATCTCGAAAGTTCCTGTTCGGTACTACTCCTAGGACCCTGCCCTTCCTTAGTCCCTTAGTTCCGAAATCGTTTCTTACCAAGCCACCGGGCTCACTGTTCTAGACAACACTGGTACCAATCCTTAACCAGCTACATAGCCTGTTCCCCCACTTTTCCCAAGTGCGGGATTTTTCCTTAATGAACTTCCACATGCAATCATTAAACATCTTCCCTGGATAGTTCTGCAGACGCAGCTGTCGCTTCAGCGTAAGTAGCTCCAGTCCAGCCAAATCGTCATTTGAAGTCATCTGTCGAATCCGATACAATGTGCTCGTGATCACTGCTTTCTTCTGTCGTGCAGATGAATACGAGTCAAAGTCTTGTAGCGTACAAAAATTAAAATCTCCTTCCGCCCAAACAGACTCCATGTTCTTAGGAAACATCTGACAGGTCACTTTATTATTTCGTATTTCAACCTTAGTCCCCAGAAATTCCCAGCTACAGATCCCATCATCCGTTCTCTTCAGAGTTAATTGTTCATCATACACATGGTCAAACCGACTCATGATCTCCTTTGTCCGTCGTTCCCCATTCCTCTCCGGACACCAAGTAAAAATACTCACATCATCCATCAATCTCACACCTCTGACCAAGTTCTGGTCCGTCCTCAAACTTCTAAAAAAAATACATTCATTCATAGCACATAGGATGCATGCCAATGGGGGACTGCTGCTTTTCCCCATTGGTATGCCAACCTGTTGCTTGATCAACCTCCCCGAGAACCCAACTCTCATCCAAGTATCCAACCCATCCTTTTGTGCAAAGGATGATCCTTTTCCTCGTCTCTTCACCATTACCATAGTTTTCCCTTTCGCCTGATACCATTCCAATATCCATTCGACAGCAGCAGTGATCGAGTCATAAGGGAGCTGACTAAACATCTCTTTGATGTCATAGGCAGCTCCTTCCAGTCTTCCCTTCCCCTTCCCCTCTACCCACTTATCAACTTCCTTCATCCTATCCTTCAATAACCCGGTCGTTTTCAAATTGAAATGCATTGATTTAGGCAATAGGAAAAGCAAATGATTCAAAACTCTCGTTGTTCGACCGCTCGCTGTTTTCGAGGGTTCAGGATACGACGGGCTTATAGGCCGGAATCGACAAATATCTTTGGATTTTGGGATTATATAAGCTCGTTCGTATCGGCCCTTACCATCCCATCTCCCTAGTTGATCCAACCCAGCTTCCTTATAAGCTTTCTTACATCTTTCAAGTACTTCCGCCTCCGATTCCCAAAAAGCTTCGAAACTCTCGTTCTTCCAGAACATCGTTTTCATACCCTTTGCATAAACTACCGGGCACATGATCCCGGTTTCTGCCGATTCCGATCCACTTCCGAACATACCAGATCCTTCGTTAATGCCTTAACCTCGTTCATTTCCCTGAAATAGTCCTTCCTCGGTCGTTTCTTATCCTCATTCACGCAAATCCCAGCTTCGCGGATATCAACAACAACTTTCAGTCCTATTTTTACAAAACTATCATTAATTTCCTGCATCAATCTCCCAACCCTCCTCGTTCCATTCTCGCAAACGAGATTACGAGCATTTCTGACGAAATCACACACATTCCTTAAGTCACTAAGCTTGCAGAGAACATGACCCTCCACTTTGGGAAGGCTACTATCTTCAAAAGTGCAGATTCCCACCGAATGTTGTGACACATTTAGGTGGTTATGGAGAAACTGACCAATCGAGCGGTTCTTACCCCACGTAACGAGCAGTTTCTGACATCCAAACGAAGCCATTGGCTCAGGCAATTGTGTTTGAATCTTTCCAACAACCAACTCCCGAATTGAATGCAAAGAAATCTCCCTATCATACGTTACACTAATACTGAATTGTTTCCGTAGGTTAACACCAAACTTATTTCAAATAACACAAGACAGAATATCACGAAGCGTTGACCGTGTCTCGGGTCTCGAAAAACATTTCACCGCACGAAAGAGAGACATCAATTTCACAAGATCCAACTTATAAAGTCGCTTCTTACACCAAGGATTCCTGATGACCTGGTGTAACTGTCGTTTCAGATCAGAATTAGCCTTTGATGGAGCTTTCGATTTCAGGTCGATAAGCTCAAAATCCCCTCCTTCCTCGAATCTTTTCCTGAAAACACCGATCCGGCCCACATCACTTCCTACATGTATCACACTCGTTCCAATCTCCCGACTAACGATCTTCCATTCCTGTGCCCAAATCTCACCTCCTTCTGAACTAAATTTATTCTCGTCCTTCCATGCCGTCCTATATACTTCAACTAATCTCACGCTTCGCGTCCCTTTACAATTGAACACAATAGGCTTCTCTTTCCGGATCCGAGCAGATCTAATGACCTTCCGCTCCTTCCTCCCCTTTCGTTTCTTTTTACTCCTCCGCTTTCTTTTCCCTTTCGAATTCAAGGCTGGCGACCATTTCCCAATATACACTCGTTCCACCCTCTCGAGTTCCTTCACCGGAACAAAAGCAATGGGTACCACGGTATAGTTCGAAAAACCCCAACGCCTAAACCGAAAGTTCAGTCGAGAATTCCTAGTCCCTTCCCTATGATTAGTCCTATACGTATATTCTTCCCACCTGGTCAACAGACTCCGACTAGTTTGACCAATATAAGGCTTCCTAGTACCTGGGTCAATGAGCAAATAAACACAACCCTCGTTCCTCTCCCAATTCGTAGCATCAACATCATTTAAGTCCAACCAGGTGCCCAAATACTTACTCCCTCATTGTATTTCCCCACGAAGAACTAACCAAACTAACATATATCTAAGCACAAGCTCCGTTAACTCACGCAACCTCCGGACTCCTATCGTCGGATCCGTCATAAATAGTCGCCGTAAGTCCAGGTACTTACCTAGATCTTGCCAGATCTCACTGGTGGGGCGGGTTGCTACTCCCAGGCAGGTCCTTGTCTGCCGGTGCATCCCTCGTAGTTTCGCGTGGTGCCTCCCGAATGACCACTCCCGTACATGGTTTGGCTGTCACCTCCCGAATAACAACATCACCTCTCGGTCTAGGTGATGTACCTTGCGGAGCTGATGCGCTAAAGTACATGGCGCGCAATTCGGTCAGCTCATCCACAGCCTCCGGTCTCCCCCGATAAACCACTCCGGCTTCGTAACACATGGCCTCGATCGTCGCTTTCAATTTCTTCCCAAAAAATCTTCGAATCGCCTTCTTCAAAGCAATGACGGTATTAAAGTCATCCGCCACTGGTGCTCCTTCCCATAGGCTGAATTCCCTTAGCGGGAAACCTATTCCATCCTTCTGTCGAGTCCGATGTACAGAGACTCTAAGTCTTGGAGATTCCTCCTCCACCCCCGCAGCCCTGAGTGTTACCGTAGCTCCTCTTCCGACCTTCGTTGGAGTCTCGCCTTGAGGGTTAACTTGGCACGCCTGTTGTGGCTGTCTTTTTCGTTTCTCCAATCTCTCCTTCGGTTCCTCTGGCTCTTCATCCGACTCCGATTCGGTCACTTTAGCTTTACCTTTGACCGCACGTTCTGACACAACCATTCTTATTAGTCTTGCTTCAAACATTCGTTCGAACTCCTCCTTTAAGGACTCCTTCTGCTTGGCCAGTAACATCTCCAGCTTCCATTCTCTATCGGCCTGCTTTTCTTCTTTGGCCTTTTTCTTTTGGAGTCCCACTCGACTCTTCTCCTCCTTGGCTGCTTTCTCCTCATCCTCACGTTTCTTCCTTTCTTCAACAACCTTCTTCGCGGCTTCCTTCTTCTCCTCCAACTCCAGCTGCTTGGTCGTATACCTACACATCTCCCGAATTCCCTCCTCCAACTCCTTGCTCAGACCAACCGCAACGGCAGCTTTATTGGAGCTGCTCGAAGTACTGCGGGGCTCGCTCACCGCCTTGATTCCCATGATTCCCTTGATAGGAATTACCTTGATTGCCTTGATTATTACCCTGTCGCGGGGCGTTACACTCCCGGCTGATGTGTCCATACTGATGGCAGTTATAGCACTCGGCCGATCTTTTCCAATCCCTGCTGCTACTCTCTTGATTACCCCCGTTATTGTTCCACTCATTCCCACCATTGCCTTTCCATCCTCCATTCCCTCCGTTGCCTCCATTACCATTCCAGTTGTTACCTTTGTTACCCCTGTTCTTGCTATCCCCTCCATTATTCTCGTTCCATCAGTTTCCGTCATTCCCTCCTCCGTTACTATTCCCATTTCAACCTCCTCCGCCTCCTCCGTTCCCGTTTGGCCCTCCATGGTTCCAGTTCCCTCCGTTCCCGCCATTATTACCAACATCATTCTCCCCATTCCCCGGTCCATTCCATTGACCTCTACCATTCCCATTGGATCCCATCACCAAATCTCGATCGTAACAAAACTCCACACGTAAGCTCGTGCCATGTATCTTGTAACAAAAAGGCACTGCATTGACAGCAGATGGACCAGTTTTCAGAAAGTGGCTACCATGTCTCATTCGAAAGGGCGACGGTCTGTGAGTATGACGCACAGCCTAACCACAAAATCCCAGTTACAAAATTGCAGATTATGAAATTTTGCTATCTGTGTGTGAGTATGCCCTCACACTCCAACCCATATTTCCAAATTCACAAGAAAACACGTCCACGACGGATCACATATACTTCCCAAATCCCCAATTGCATTGTTTCTGTGCCCGTGTCTCAGCGGCTTGGGAAGCCACTGGGGATGGGATTTTGTGGTCACGTCTAGAGGTGACCGCATATGCCCTACTTTTTTTTCGAGTTTTTTTTAAATTAGCCAAAACTTTCAAAACTCGTTCACAAAAGTCTTGCAATATTGGAACAGTGAAGATGTGCAGAAGGTAAATTGAAAAAACAAAACAAAAGAGTTCAGGGGTGGTGCTGTGTGACCAGCAAAGCACCAATTACCCATTTCTCCACAAGGTCGGGACCTTGTCCTATTAGCAATAGGGGGTAATTGCAGAAATATTGCGTTTTCGACCTTTGGTAGCAGAAATGTTGAGCGGGTCTGAAAGATCTATTCTTGCAAGGAAAGTGGGACCCCACCTGCAAATACTTTGCTGTGAAACTACTGGGACCTCTACATTTTCGCAACCAAACTTGGCCCCCACCAATATTTTTGTTGTGAAACTACCGTGGCGCTATTTTGAAACATACCCTAGTAATGGTAAAGCAGGGTGACCACTGGTGAGCCTAAAACCACAAATCCCCCTTTTCCAAATCACCATACTTTGTGGTTTTAGGGTCACAGTGTGAGTATGCCCTGAGGATGAACGTCTACTCATGCGGATGTGAGTTCATTCTGAGCAAACTAAGGGAGATTGAGATGCCAAATCGAAATTTGAGCAAGACACTGTAGTTCTCAATCCTCAAGATTTTCATGATTACACTAGGACGATTTCTTTTAAGCTGCAGGGGTGATTCCGGTCAGATTCATCCAGGCCGGACCGACTTTGTAAACAGATACATTTACAAATATCCTATTGCGAGTATGCACGGAGTTGAGCGTTGTTGAACTCTTAGAATTATCCTTCTGACAATGAAGGGATTGCATGTTGCCTTCATGGTGAAAGGGCTAAGTCTAAGAGCCTCACTCCACTACTCTCCGCTATACAAAATTTCGTATAGTTGGTGGACAACTCTCAGTATCGTTCAAAGCCTTCGGAACGAGGCATCGCTCCACTAACTGTCCACTATGTAACTCCCCAATTCGTGAGTTCACTAAGAGACATCATCGTAGCACTGCAAGACACGACCTCTATAGCATTTAGTCTGCCCAGACTCCAGGCTCGCTGCCGAAAAGGCGGAGGTCTGTGGCGTCCGCGAAACGACTTGTGCAGGCTGGGAGCTATACAAAAATGAACGGTCTATTTTCCACACTATTTCTGACAACCGTCGAAGCCATTTCAAACACGGATAGTGGACAGTAAGTGGAGCGACATCCCACTGTCCATTTTTTTACAGTGGACCGTAGTGGAGCGACGCCTTAAGAGTTCATTAGTGTAGAGAACTTGAGAAGGGTAATTCTAGGAGTTCAGTATAGGCTTAGGAGTACTCATGAGTCGGCGAAAAAAAAACTTCACAAAAGAATATTGTATATATATAAGAAATAAAACATTAGCCTTCTGTTCCTAACTTGGTACTCCCTCGCACAATTCAAACCCTTCTCAATTTAGGGCCTCGCCACACCAAACAGGGAAATGTTTCAAGAGTTGTCAGACGATATCAAGAGTTGTATTTTCAAGAGTTTTCGGCCCCTTGCCACGCAACACTCTTGAAACGGTGACAGTGCCAGACAAAGTATGCAAAAAAACAGTCGTACAACTTTGTTTTTTTTTTAATGGCGTCAGGATAAAGGCCTAACAACTCTTGAAACAAGTTGTGCATCCTTCAGGAACTGCAACACTTCCTTAAGGTGTCTCATGTGCTCCTCCATCGACTTGCTGAAGATTAGTATGTCATCCAAATAAACAACAACAAATCAATCGATCTCACTGCGAAACATCTTGTCCTTGAGACTTCGTAAGGTGGGCGGTGCATTCGTGAGCCCGAAGGGCATGATGGTAAACTCATACAGCCCATCATGAGTTTCAAATGCAGTTTTATGCTGGTTTGCAAGGTTGACTTCAGTCTGGTTATAACTGGACTTGAGGACGATCTTGCTAAAGACCTTGCATTTGCAAGGTTGACTTCAGTCAGGTTATAACTGGACTTGAGGTCGATCTTGAAGAAGACCTTGCATCGACCTGCAACATCAAGCAAATCATCAATGTGTAGTATAGGGTATGCATTCTTTATTGTTAGTCTGTTGAGTCTGCCGTAATCAATACACATCCTTAGTTTGCCTTCTTTCTTAGGAACAAACAAAACGGGTGCACCGAATTCGGATTCATTCGGCCTGATCCATCCTTTTTCAAGCATGTCATCAATCTGTCTTTGCAACTCCTTCAATTCGCCTGAGCTCATTCGATAGACACAACCTTTTGGAGGAGTGTTACCTTCTATCAACTCAATCTTGTGTTGGACCGGACTCAAGGGAGCTCCACGAGGTACGACTCAAACTTCGGGGAATTCATTGAAAAGACTGCAAATCTCTTATGGGATCTCCGAAGGTGACATTTAAAATCTTGCAAGCATTATCGGACTGCATAAGTGCATCGCGAACAACAGGATTTGAAGTTGAACCGTTTGGACAAGAAGTAGATTCAGTAAAGGTAGAAGGAGAGGTAGAAGTAGTTACATTGGAAGTAGAAACAACATGCAAATATGTATAGCAAAAATAGAAGGCACGTTGGCATGCCTACAAAGGCTATATACATTTGCTCATCATTTTTTTGTTTGTGTCACTTCTTACAAAATGTCATTGCGTTGAGAAAAGTCACTTAGAAGTTGTGCGGTTCGTCCAAGAGGACTGGATGCTCGTACACCATCGCATCTTTGACCATAAATTGTTAATGATTCCACCTGGTTCTTTGACATCGGGCCAACAACAAACCTAAATCAATAATTGCGTCGAAATGACACTTATCAAGGAAATAGAAGTTCAACTCATGTATGATTGTGCAGTCTGCATCAAAGGTAGTGTGCACACCTTTGAATGCATGCGCATATGTGACAACCTCGTGACGGCCCACTTGGGTCCGACAAGGATTCGGCAAAGGCATTTGCTTTATTCCCAAGCATGCCTTATAAATGTCATATGGTGAGAAGAAGTTGGCATTTGCATCACAATCACTGAACGCATGGATGTATCGACCATTAATGTGGAGCTTGAAGAAGATCAACTTCGTTTTCCCCTGCGTGAACTCTTGCTTCGAACTGGTAAGCCAAGGAACACACTAGGTCAGCATCTAGCCCTCGATCGTCACGAAGAGTAAAACCATTTGCACCGGCCTAGTAATGGGACTCCATCAGATCATATGATGCAAAACGGATGTTGCCTCCATGTCGTTTGTAACCAAAGGTTTTCTTCACGCTACCTGTTGTGTGGAAGAGGTCTTGTGTCTCTAGCCTAATTACGTCCTTCATGAGGGAAATTCGGTCTGTATATTCGTCGAGTCCTAACTCAAAACGATTGGTAATGGTCAAGGCTATGATATGTCTTTGACAATATCTAGACTTAATTGTGTTATCATCTCCAAGCCGAGTGCGGCTAAAAGACTGTTGAGATGTATCATCAGGTCTTCCATACTCTTGGCCCACATGCTACGTTTGACATAGTCAAACCGGTATTTGCTTTTGCTACAACGTGTGGATCCTGATAGCGTTTCAAGAAGAGTTCCTTGAGTTTAATGATCAAAGTGACCTTCCGCCACTTATTCATGTTCGGTCTGGCGTATCCGGCCGGTATGGCTTGGAGGTCTATCCAGCTTTATACTTCGTGCATGAAATTGGTTCCCACGATAACCGATTGAGTAACCGGGTGAGTTCCCAAAATGTTGAAATATGCTCGATAACCGAGAGCCAGGAAATGACATCGTCCTTCCCGTCGTATCTAAGCTGTAATACGACCGTTTTCTCATCGACATAGGGAAAATCATTGTTAGGAACAGGATTTGTAGGAACAAGAACTGAGACTGCACCAGTCACAGAGCTCCCTGCGCCGCAACTTTGTGCAACAGTAGTGGAAGGCGCACTTGTTGCAGGTCCTATATTCATCAAGCTCAAGGATGAAGAAGAAAAGAAAGAAACAAAGATAATTTTTTTCATTTTTTTCCTAGGCTACCAGCCGGGCGGCCCGGGTCCTGGGTGGCCAGCTTGTGCAAGGACCAGGGAAGTTCCCAGCAAAAAAAAAAAAATCAAAAAAATCCAAAAAAAGACTATGTTATGCAGAAATATAAATTGAACTAGGGTTACAAGCCCGTACGTACGGAGACCCCGAGCGGACCTCCGTACGTTCAGGCGTACGGGGTCTCGTACGGGGTCCGAACCCGACAGCATTCGGCCCCCGCCAAAAATTATGTCGGGGCCGAAAAATATTTGTTTTCTTTTGAATTTTTTTTATGAGTTCTCTATGACCTGCGGTACATGCCCATAAATTTTCAAGTCATTTGGCTTAGCCGAATAAGAATTAAAAATCGCCAAAGATGGCGGTGTCAAAACGTGCTCGCCCACGTTTTTATGACTTTCTACTTTTTGTTTTCACTTTAGTTCGGGGTCTAAACAATTTTATTATTTTTTGAAACTTTTTTAGTGGGTTTTCTATTATGTGGAGTACATATCTATAAATTTTCAGGGCACTTAGCTATGCCAAGAAAAAATAAAAAATCGCCAAAGATGGCGTTGTCAAAAACATGCTCCCCCACTCACTAAATTTAATTATCTTTTTA